ATTCTCTCATGGGTTATTTGAGGATTAATTCACTCAACATTGTATAATACTTTGAAGGCCTACGACACCCATGCAAGTGATAAGTTGCAAAATGCAGTCAAAAGAGGTGGTTATCCCTCTGTATTTAGTGCCACCTCAAGTACCACAATTTAAGAAGAATGTTAAGGTCCTTAAATGCATCCAAAGAACAGCAAAGCTGGTGAAAGGGCTGGAAGGAATGTCCTAGTCCTATAGATGACTTGCAAGTAAAAGTTTCTTTTACCATTGCAGTGGTGCACATGCTGAGAAAGTCAGTGTAGCCCAGTGCTAAGGAAACCTTGTCACATAGTTACCAGTGTTAAGGAATTTCCCTTACTTAACCTTTTGAGGAACAAGAGGTTAACAGAAAAGGTAAATTGTAAATCTTTCCAATTTAGAAAGTGGGACCTTTTCAACAGCATTTTCAAGGAAATCTACTGCCAGAGTGTTCCCGGAATTAAAATGGAAAACCTGACACCTTTAACAATTTCCTGCCACTGTATAACTGTCAGCGTTGCATGGGTTTTATCAACCCCAATGTTAAACTTCAAGGTTAGCAAACCTTTGCGTTCATATGCTTTTGGGTTGTTTTTGTGCAGCTTTCTTTCATCTGCAGCCCCAAGATACCTGGCTGAGGAATTCTGGGAAAGGCAGCGCTGTGGTTTCTTGCAGGTTCTTCCTTTCCCTATGGAACACCATGCAATAAAGATCTGAACAGGAGATTTTTGGACCACTCCCATGATCCAAAACAACTCAAATTTGTTGCCAAGTGCTAGTGAAGAAGCACACATTGGTGTGGCTACTACTTGCTATGCAATTAAATAAAGATGCCATAAGACCCCTTCAAAGACAAACACTGTCCCTCTAGAAGTATACAAGTGGCATATCTAAGATCCAGGTAGGAAAGCAATACCCAGTGGCACCCAGTAGCTAAATGCCAGAACCAGGATTAAAATCCAGGTTTCTTATCTCCTTGCCTCATGTCCAGTATGCTGTGCACCCCTGTCTCTGGGGTAAAGTGCAAATGTGGCTTAGCTATCTGTGTGAACATAATATAGGGTAGGGAAGACTGTGTTGTAGTTACAGTCTCACTGGGTTCACACAGCTTTTACTATCATAGCAGCCTAGACAAACTGTTTTAAAAAATCACAGCTTCTCACTTGCTCTCTCTAAGTCAAATAAGCATCACCAAGATCACAATAAACATTAAGAGTAAACAGCAAGGATAAAAGTCCCAGTATTTTATCGTTCTTCCCTGCTTACTATAGAAGTGCTGACTTTTTTCTTCAGAGCTGCTCTAGGGTATATCAGTTCATTTCAATCACTGTGAAGACATTCACATGCCCAGAGATGATGAGGCACGTAATGATTTGATCATTTGATTATGATTTGATCAGTTTTAATAACTACAGAAGTATAACATTATAAACACAAAGCACCCCCAAGGACGCACATCACTATAAGGAGAAAAGCAGAAGAGCTAACACGAAGGGAGATCACTTAGGATGAAGAGACTATCACTATAGAAAATGTTTCTATGGTGCCATGAATGATTTTAAAGCCATCCTCACCATCCCCCACAACGCACTATTGCTTTAATTCATTTATTTTTACAACAGAAAGAGCATTTGAGACAGGAGAAGGCATTTGGCTCAGCTGTCTGCTCCCAGCCTTGCAAAACCACAGGGCACTCTCTGTATTCCCACCTCCACCAATGCTGGGGAATGACATCACCTCTGCTCCAGGGCACTGGCCGGCCAACAAAAATAACTGTTACTGACCAAGAGCACTATTGCAAGGAATATTTTTGGAACCATACTCTGCATTCCTCCAAGTCCCCTGTTTCCTAGTCCAAACATATCATGGCCTAAAAATTCCTTGCATTTTCTATGCAGTGTTTCCTTTGGGCTTGCACAATGGAGCAGTTCTTCTCCTCAGCAGCGCTAGTGTTCTAGAAAGGGAAGGGGGGGGAAAAAAGGATGAAGCACTAAATAACCCTAATGGGAACCGCAGGTGCCACAGTGTTATTTTTAGGTCACAAAAATGATGTAGAAGGCTACGGAGTCACCTCAGCTTTACCTTCCACTGCCCTTTACTGAACAAAAAGGCCAAAGAGCTCTCTCATTGCTTCCATGTGGTGGTAAGGGGGACTCACCTATGTTTGTGGCAAAGACAGCTATTTAGTAGGGTTTTGCATGGAAGGAGGAGGCCAGGAGGATGTGGCATCTCCTTCTGACAGCACCTCTGGGTAGTGTGCAGCGGTAATGCAGCCCAAAAGCCTCCTCACCTCTATGCTCAGCTGCCCTTTGGCTGCAAGAGGTTGTGCCTAGGACATGCAGCAGCCATTGTTTTCCCAGAGGAAAGAGCAGAAGTTCCCATCAGGGTCTGTTCCTCCTAACATCCCGCCCAAGTGACACCATACCAGTTCCTTCCACTCCCATGTCTCTTGATGTATGGACATAAAGTCATTCTGGAAACTTTCCCATTAGCACACATATGATTTTAACAAAATGTGCACACCTAAAAATATTCCAGCCTAAACCAAGCAATGGAAAAAAACTTACTCCTTCAAATTTCCACAATTTTCTTTTTCTTCTTCACTGGAAGAAAGCCGTTTTCCTTATTATAAAGGTTAAAGTTATGGGAGAAGTAACACACACCTAAAAGGTAGATCCATTCCAGCCCTGCTCTGTCCCAAGCAGAACTATTTACCCAGTGTTGGTACAAACTTCTATTTGAATAGAAACAGAGGCTATTAATCAACATGTGCTTTACTGGCCCATCCTTTGTTTCTTTTTTTAGCTGCCCAGATAAGAAAAACAATGCAGAGAAGAAACTAATAGGGGTCATAAAGAGGCCACTTATGCACCAATGTACTGCACAAGGTTTAGAGACTCCCTTTACCTTTTTGTACCTCTGTTATTCAACCAGTCCTTGATCAACTTCATCTGTTCAGACTACAAAGTCTGGGACTTGCTTTCTGCTATGCCCTACTCTTCCCACTCATAGCTGGGCCTGAAAGCACATGTTTATTATAAATCATTATGCTTTTAAAGGTATTTAGATGTGCTGCACATCCACAAGCAGACCAGTTGCCATAAGACTGTTTTCAAACACAGGGAGACCAAAGAAAATTCATTCTTTGGAGTGTTACAATTGAGAGATGAGGAATGGGCTGGAGAAATCACTATTTAGGTGGAACTAATGAGCAGCAACTAAAAGCCAAATGACAGCGTAACCCATAGCCCCCTTGTGGGATAGTCTAAAATGGCTGTGCATGTCTGAAGCATTTCAAGGACTTTCATTGTCTGCTTGGTCTACCACTTTCATAGCTCAGATAAATCACTATTTTCAACCACAGCATTCAGCTTGTTGCCCCACAGAATGATTCCCCAGTCATAACTTCCAGCGATACAGAAGTGCACAAAATACGATCTCTTTTATTAGGCTAATAAAAATTGGAAAGTATACTATATAAATTTTATAGACCTCGAAGGTCTATCTTCCATAGGGGGAAATTGAGACTTCAGGATACTGTTGGCACCATAGCAAAGATATTTATCAGCTGCCTTGGAAAACCCACCAGATAGAAGTCACCAGCAAAGCAAAATGATGCAACTGTAAGCTTACCTGAATCTTTCCTCTCTGTAGAGCTCTTTCATGGTACAGCTTGCAGATTAATGTTCCTAGACCCATAAGGGAAAAAGGGCCAACCAGCAAGAAGAACTCTTCAGCTTCCCCCAAGCAGGCAACTCTACACTGTCAGAATGCAAACTGCAAGGACCGTATGGGTCCCACTCGTGGCTCCTCTGCAACACTGTGCTGAGGATTACCAGCTCCCTTCAGCAGGATGTGAAAGTGGAGGGAAGGAAAGGGAAAGATTCATGTGATTTTCCCCAAGGAAACCAAGGTGTTGATCTTATGCTTATATGAAGGTGAATGACCGGGCAAGAAGTGGGAAGGAGGACCTCTTGATTCTCAGATCGGTGAAAGTGGAAAGATGCTAACCATGGGGTCCCAAGGGAGAGACTGTGCTTTGAGAGGAAGCCAGGAGCCTAGCAGAGGTGACCTGGAGACCCAATCAGGCACTAACAAAGATTTCTGAGATTCCCTCAAGGTTGGAAGGAGGATTCCCTGCACCAGGAATTCATTTATTTCTTTCAGTATAGCTCTTGTGCAGTACAAAGCAGAAAATGACTGCTTCAGAGGGCTTTCTGCAAAATCCATTTCTGTTTGCTTGTGGGCAGAACCTCGTGTCTCAGACAGGTGAAATCAGGCACTTCAATATATGCTCTTGATTCCCAGAAGGTTCCTAAAGACCCCAAACCTCATCCAGTTTCTTTGAGATAAGAGGCAAGAATGGTGTCATAAACACAGACCTGAGCAAATGTGCTTTCATGAGCCTTAGTGGAAGGCTACACATCTAAAAGCAGTCACGGTTTTGAATTAAAGGGGCATTTTTCTCCTCAGGTTATGGGGTCCAGAATGCCTGCCCACATAGAAACACCCCTCCTCACCTTCATTTCAGTGATACAGAACTGAGCTGCTTCAGAGGGTGGACACAGTGATTGTGCAAATAAAACCACCCAGAGACCACCAGGTTCTGCTCCTCCAGTGACCAAGGCGGTCAGAGACTAGAGGGCAACATGAGCACGACTGGAAACCAAAAGGTGCTTTTCAATTCCCCCATGATGACAGGTAGGTTGGATTGCACAAAGAAATATGATTCTTGCCAAGGTAAGCAAGCTTTTCTTGGCCTTGAGAAGAAGCATTCTCTAGGGCTTTCCATCTCAACCACTATGGACGTGTACAGCACTGACCACTTCCCCACTCCAGCCAAGCCTCAGGGAAGAGATCTGTTGCAAAGGGAAATGAATAACGTGTTACAACAAACATGGTGTTTGTTGTGACTGCCTCCCATTTATGTAACTTGGGACTTAGTCTCAAATTCATTAGCCAATATTCTCTGTTTCTAACAAATGAACAGAGTCTCTCCCTGGATGTGCAGAATGGAGGGAGACTGCAGTAACCCTGACAGGTTTGGGGGAAGCAGAGAGGAGAAGCTCTATTGAGACGAAGTTCCTCAGGTGAGATTAACCAAACTAATGTGAAGCATTCCATCTTCACAGGAGTGAAAGGCAGCCATACAACCAGCCTAGCCCAGCTTACTGAGATGAGGAACCCATTCTCATAGTTTAGGGGTAAAAAAACACTGTCTTTTCAGCCCAGCTTTAGTCCTAGTTTCAATGCTAAAAGATGGAACAAACAGACCTGGCTCATGACATTGACATTTGCTCTGCTATCATCATCAGCTCTATCTGATAGGATGACACTACTTAAGCTGTGGTAGCCAGAGGAAATCCAATGCTAAGGAAATGGACATTCATTTAATGTTTATCTAGGATCAGCTCCACCAATGAATTCCAGATGTTGGCTTTAATTGTCGCATTCTGGTATGTTTAAGCAGCAGGAGTTCGTAAGGCCGATTTGTAAATCAATCTGGCAGGCTCATACTGAATCCCATCTTTGCCAGATTCTCTAAGTAAGAAGATGCTCTTAAAATATTAAGTGCTTAATGTGTCTGCAATGCAAAAGGAAGGAATTCTTTAAAAACCCTCCCCCGATGTTTTTCTCCTTTTGCATCTTCTCTCCTTCATTTCCCTTTGCAGAACTGCAAGACAAGCCATTCCCTTCAGACGAGTCTGATGAATTCCAGCAGTCCTGAAGCTAACAAGCGCAGGTATTGGGATATTACCCTGCAACACAGGCAGATCACCCTGCTTATCATTCCATCATTCACATACATTTCTTCTGAGTAACTCCACTGATTTCCTGACACGACCAATGTCAACTGCATGTGTGGACCACATCCAGCAGCAGTGATCCTGATATTTGAGCCTGAGTTTTCTTAAAGCAGAAAAGAGAATAAAAATTGATTACTGCAACCTTGGGACTGTCTCAGACCCAGGTTTCATGTTCTTATTAATTTGTATTTAACTGTTACAGCGGTTACAGCTCACATCCAGAGGTGGCACAGAAATATCTTTCATATTCCGAATCCCAAAGCATTGTACAACCTCTGAGTTAGACACTAGCAAACCTTGCCATTGTTTTGTGCTCAGCATGACTTCACACAACAGCTGAATGTGTTAGACTGGTGTTAGAGGGATTGCTTATTACAACAGCCAACTTATGGCCAGGCCTTGTTTACAGGAGAGAAAAAATAGCTTCAACTTAAGTAGTGTCCCTACTGACCAGGGCAGCCAATAGAGCTCATTAAAACTGCTTTAGAAACCTGTTTTCTCAATTTCCTTTCAAAACACCTGCTTCTGAGATAGCTGCTCGGTATTCAACACATGTGCACCCTACTTACATTTTCCCAGGAATGTGTGCTTAGCACACACATTTCTCAAAAGGTGTCACTGGATGGGTAGGTAAGGTTTCAAAAGCTTTCAGCATGGGCAATACTCATCCCATGGAAGTTCATGGGAATTCTTCAAAAGGGATTGACCCAGCCTCGGCTGACTGCTTTTGAAAACCTCCCCTTTATCTTCCATCTTTCACAGCCTCCGAGATAAAGTGCTGTAAGTTTTAGTTTACCATCCTCCTTCAAAATCACAGACCTCTAAGTGAAGTCTACTTCTTCTCTCACTAAGAACATGAAAAGCATTTCACTCGTGGCCTCAGTCATAGCATATTTGAAGAGAAGCTTGAGAAAAGCAGTGACTAAAAATCTACCCACTGCTTTACACTCTGAGCAGAGACCAAAGCATCACCAAAGAAATGGTTGTTTCAACTCAGCAGTGATTTAGCATTTGAGACTGCAGAAGAGATCCCACTGCATTACAATAGCAAAGCCTCCAAAATAGGCAGGGTGAAGTGAGCACGCTTGAAAATACCTTCCAAGTCAATGGGACCACATCTAAGCAAGACACAAAAGCAATGCCATCCCAATAAGTCAAATTGTTATCACTGTGCATCCAGCAGAGCTGGGGTGGCACCAGGTATTGCATCATACATGAAATATAAGGCAGGTCAGAGCTACATAAAGGAATAAGAAACTGGTTATTTCCCCACAGCAAACAGGCTCCCTGTGCTAAGTTAAAGACCTGGTATGGGGCTCCAGGGAGGTAGCTGTCAATAAGAAAAGCAATAAAATACTGTGAAAAAAAAAAAAGGCTGCAGCAGAAATAAGAGGAATTGTTATTTCAGTGAATGGCAATGTGTTTGCTTTCATTCCCCATGTCTGAAACTATCTCTGTGGTCCATAGCATATGAGCAAAGATTAAGTGATCTTGCTCCAGACACAGAACAGTGCTTTTTTCAAATACCAGGTGAAAAGGATCTAGAGAAACTTATTTCCCCTACAGGACAAGCCAACATGGCTTTGAAGGAACAGAGATTGCTGTCATAGGAGCTGCAATATTCCCTCCCTCACTGCAGATGCAGAAGGGTGGCGAAACTGGCCCCCAGTGGGAGGCCTGACCTGTAAAATGTGGAGCTTTGAGCACAAGAAAGGCCAAAATTTCCCAAGAAAAGCTAACATGGGTCAAACAAACAAACAGCAATAACCACATATAAGGCACAATTTCTGTATTTAAGGTTTAACGGTTTAATTTATAGTTAAGTATGTCCATGACCCTGGTTTTACCTAGAACATGGGTAAAATATATCCAAACCTTTCCTGTCAAAGAGATTGGAGATACACACGAGCTCTGACAGTACCGAGGATGTCAGATGACCAAACTCCTTTCTGATGCAATTCCACCAATCTACCCCTGAAAGCTGTCGCCCTTCTGCTTGTTTATCATGGCAAGGTTTCAAGGGGCCATCACAGAATTCTCCATAATTATCCAAGGATGAAGCACCCAGAGAACAAACTCGTTTTGACTGAAGGTCACATAGACATGTTTACACATGGCTGTGATTACAGCTCCTTGAACACCTCCCCAGAGGCTCTGAAAACAATCCCAGAAGAGAGGGAATCATAGAATCATGGAATGGTTTGGGTTGGAAAGGACCTTAAGATCATCCAGTTCCAACCCCCTGCCATGGGCAGGGACACCTCGCACTAAACCATGTCACCCAAGACTCTGACCAACCTGGCCTTGAACACTGCCAGGGATGAAGCATTCACAGCTTCCTTGGGCATGATGGGGTCCCCATAGACAAAGCCAACCAATCCACCAATGTGAGCAGGATGGGTTATTTAGCTGTTATTTAGCTCCCATCTCACATCTCAGGAGCATGCCTGTCAGTACAGGAGGAGCACATTTAGCACCTTGCCCGCATTTCAAGCTGAAGGCACAGATCAGCTTCTCAAAATTCACCCTCAGTATTATTCACTTCCCACAAGGGAAGGTTGCTGCATCTTCCAAGCCCCTTTGAAGGAAAGGGGACTAACAAAACCACACTCAAACCAAACCAGCTCCCAAGAGCTGGAAAACCCCCTTGATGTCAGATTCCCACAGCTTTCTCCTGGGTTGGAGTTTGTCTTGCCAAAGCACACCCAAAGGCTATCAGGAGAAACTGCAGTGGGTTTGCAGTTGTCAGGAGACACTGCAAACAGAGCACAAACACTGGCCTGTGCTGGGATTGGGGGGGTGCCATTCCTCTCCTCGAAGAGATTCCTGGGATTGCTCTGGAGAGAGCAGCAGACAGGTTTGGGAATCCCAGCCTGCGTCTGAAGTAAATCCAACTCCATTCCCAAATTCCCTGCCAGTGAACAAGGAGGACTGTCACCAGCTCTCCCCTTTCCCGTCACACATTCAACGAAGTTGAGATGAAGTTCCTTGTTTACTTCAATGGAAAGGTCACCATAGAATCATAGAATAGTTAGGGTTGGAAAGGACCTTCAGATCATCAAGTTCCAACCCCCCTGCCATGTGCAGGGACACCTCGCTCTAAACCATATTACCCAAGGCCTCGTCCATCATTTATTCTACCTTGAAAAAACCAACACAAAACCAACACGCCAACTCACACAGCTTCTCTTTAAGAAGGGAAACATCTACTGCTGGGCCAAAGAAAACTCAACAAAGAATTCGGCGGTGGTGCTTTTTCCAAAACAAATTAGTTTCGTAATGGAGGATTTAATCCCAAATATTTCCAAGCCTTTTGTTGACAATGAAGCAGAAAACTGACTCATCTAAAGAGTTCAACTGACTTGACAACATTTTTCAGGGAAACAATGAATTGGAAGTAAAAAAAAAACACCCTAAAAACAAAGTCCATAAAAGTCCTATGTGTCATTAGGATTGTGTGGTAAACTCAGAGGTAGTGGTTTGGTTAGCATGAAGAGATCAGAAACCCATCATATTCTGCATTTGTTTGACCTTTGTGGCGTGTCTGTAAGAAAATTACATACACTCAGGAACAGCGAAATGAAAGGAAAGGGAAGAAGAACAGAAGAAAGACATCAACTGCCTTTGTTGCAGTGGATCATTGCAATGGAAAATCAAATCGTTTGTTTCCCTTTAATTGACATGAAATATTTTCTGCACAGTCCTGTTAATGATTTAGCTTGTTATTGAACAACAGCATTGTTCTCACTGCTTGTCTCCCTATTGTTCTGCCACTTGCAGTAATTTAAAACAACCCAAAAGTAATCACAGACAGATGCATCGTGCAGAGGACAGATGTATTGACCCATACAGTGCTTTACCAGCTAAGCTTGCAAGGTATGGTTATGTTCTTTGCTTTTACTAGACTTTAATAGAAGGTTCTCTTTAAAACATTAACTCAAGAGCTACAAAATACATCATGGGAGTAGAAAGTGAAGGGATAAATTCTATGTTATCTGATTCCTTTTACTGCTCAGAGGGGTTCTGTTTCTCCCCTCTTTTCCCTGGCTTCAGTGTAAGGAGCAGGTTCCACCCTGTGAGTGCAACCAGAGTAAAACTGACATTTTATGAGTGGAAACAGTCCAAGGATGGTAGCTTATGCTCTTAACATCCCGACATCTCAACCTCTGCGAGCAGCCATGGCACTGCTTCCAGTGGCTGCAGAACACCTTAAAAAGCAGCCCAAACTGACAATGAAAATAAACTACAGTTGCAGCACTGCTGGAGTCTGGCAGCCCTTAGCAAATACAGCAGCGTCTGGGTGTTAAAATACATAAATCTGTCATCATTACCAGGCTAAGGGGTCGTCATCCTATTCACAGAATAAAAGAACTGTGCATAATCAGTAGGGCAGGGAGTTCAGAACAAAGTACGCCTTTTACAAACTCTCAACTGCTGATAGATGGATGTTTGCAAGGGACTTAATGTCTTTAACAGGGTACATTTAAGAAGGAGTGTAGGTTTCAGAACTCCTGGGATTAGTACTTTTTTTTCTCCCCCTCCTCTTTTCCAAATTTACTGCCAAAAGTATATAACATAAACACTCAGGTCTTCTCACTATGAAACCCACGTTATTATAAGGGAGAATCGACAAGTGTTCTAGCACAATGACATTATTCATCAAGCACAACACAGAATATGCGCTTTCTCTCCTGAAACAAAAATAAATCTGATTTAAAAATAGGTTTAGACACTAATTGCCAGCAGTTTTGTTGGTTGGTTTTTTCCTTCTTTTTTCATCTCTTTCTTAATGCTGATGCCAAAGACAGCACAGGAAAGGTAGAGCACTAGACCCTGCAGGAATGTAAAAATACACCTCCTGAAGAACCTACATTTTAACGAGCAACATACCTGCATGCATAGATCAAGAAGCAGCATATGAGCAATCAGTGGTATGTATGTGCATTTACAGATAAAGGGGGAGTCTCCAAAATCAACATTCAAGTTTCACCTTATAAAATAGCCCAGCTTGACGCTGTTCTCCCTATAATAAATATTATACACTGCACCTTAATTTACAAGTGTGCCACTTGTGTATTTCTGAGTTAACTGGTATCAACAGGTCTAAAATTTGGCTAAAAACCCAGTAACTGTGCTATTTATTGGG